CTCTCCCATCTGCTCTCGAGAGAATACAGATTTAGGCATTTTTGTTGGTCCCAAAAGTTTACATGTTTTCCTGAGTAGATTCTAGCAGTAAAGGATCTCTGCACGCTCTTCAGGTTAGTAATTTCTCCAGCTTTGAAAGGGGCTGTCATTGTGCAACAGTATTCCACTGCATCTTGAAAAGTATCGATATATTATTTCTAGTGTGAAAGGTTTTTGTTATGCAACCTGTCATTTTTCTTGCAGATGTGATGGCTACTTTATTGTATTCTTTAAAGATAAGTTCTTCCAATATGAGTATATCCAAATCCTTTACACTGCCTTTTCATTCTATGTTATGATTTCACTGCGTTTTGTACGTGGTTTCCGTTTTTATATTTTCATTTTTTCCGTAGTGCAAGAGCTGGAACTTATTTTCACATACAGTCCTTTGCTGACACATGGCATAGAGGAGAAAACTCCTATATTCACCTTGAATATTTTAATGTCCATTGTTTTACTTATTAGTTTACATAATGCAGGGTTTATGTTGAGTAACTACTGTATTTCTGTACACTTACTTTCAAAACAGTTATGGTAAATCTACCAAAACCTAGCATAGCTCAAAGGAAATACCTCGCAGTATACTCCTTTGTTGCAATTCTGTCTATTAATGCCACCCAGGATACCTGATCAACTAAGATGTGACTCATATGCCAGGCTGCAAGCAGCTGCATCGAACAGCCTGGTTGACCAGACCACCCACCAGGAGGCCTGGTCAGAAACTGGGACACGGGGATGGCAAGCCTCAGAATCATCGACAGGTACACAGATATAAGCATGGAGTCAAACACCTGGCAGGAAACACAAAATCATCATATCAAGATAACTGCAGGTCCCTCGTATATAATAACTTCATCACACAGTAAACAATTACAAAACGATAACAGAATTGCATCTACTGTATATACGTATAGTTATTATAGCCATATTAGTAGACCAGGGGATCAATAAATGACGACGACTGCACACTGAGGGCCAAAATCTCATGGTTGTTGAAAGATCTTTCACAAACTTTGAACTATACAAACTAACCAACCTGCAGGGCTTTTTTATCAAAATTTGGTATTGATAAATATTATAGAAAATACAAAAGAATTAAAAACTTATCCCAGATTCATTCTTCCTGATATATTGCATGCAAATTACATATTTGTCTATCGTTATTAATTCATCAATAATACTGCAAATCTAAAAATACAAACATAATTTTTCTAATATTTAAGTTGCTCTAAGCTGCCTTCAAAGAAGCAAATTACATGCCACCTTAATACTTGCTGTTTATAAATTACCAAATTTTTGCAGGCGAGGAGTCACAATAACGTGACTGAAGAATGTTGACCAGACCACACACTAGAAGGTGAAGGGACGAAGACGTTTCGGTCCGTCCTGGACCATTCTCAAGTCGATTGACAATGGTCTAGAACGGACCGAAACGTCGTCGTCCCTTCACCTTCTAGTGTGTGGTCTGGTCTACAAAATTTTTAGCTCGTGAATTAACATACATACCAACCTTAAATAAAAATGGAAAAAATCAGTGATTAACCTAACAAATCAAGTATTACAACCTTGGAAATGCACATTCAAATAAATTAAATAAAAAAATATTCGGATCTGAAATTCTGAGGGCTATTTGAGTATAAAGTATTGAACTTTGAAAGAAATTCTTAACTATGCAACATTATTCTAAAATTCTTATGCATGACAAAATTAACAATAGTTATAATACTGTACTTCATAAAATAAGCCAAGTTCAACCATATACCATAACAAAAAGGGACAAAATTATAAACTACTGTATTATAGTCATTGTAGCTTTAAAGATTTCAGTAGTTTAGGGAGGTACTCAAATTTACCTAAGGGGCACTAATACTAGTGGCCTCGATGAGGACAGGAAGCTGGCGGCTTGTCAAAGGTCCCCCTATTTGCCCCTGATGATCTTTTCAAGCTGTATACTTTAAAACCCAATAGTTTTGGCGTTTACGGCTTTAGCAGGTATGCGGTTCCACGGGTTTACAATCCTATGGGTGAAAAAGCATCTGTTTTCTGTCCTACATTATGGCTTGTTGAGCTTGAACCTGTTGCTTCTCATTCGTGCTACATCTGACCTTTTGAAGAAATTGTCAGGATCGACAGCGTCCAAATCGTTTAGTATTTTAAAGGTTTCGATGAGATCCACCCTGTCATGCCTGGTTTGCAGTGTTGTTAGCCCAATGGTCCTCAACTGTTCCTGATACATGAGATAATTAAGCTCTAGTATGATTTTTGTTGCCCGGTGTTACACCTTCTCCAGAGCAACTATGTCTTTCTGAAGATGAGGTCTTCATTCCTGGATGCAATATTCCAGGTGGGGGCGCACCAGAGACTTGTACAATTGAACGGTTACTTTTCTTTCCTTGAAAGTAAATGTACACTTGATTATTTCCAGGGTTTGGTTCGTTTTTTTTTTTTTTACTCCCACTCCCGCTTGCACAACTTTTAGCAAATGATGGATTCTGACTCCAAAAGGTCCTTTTCCTCATCTATCTGTTGTAAGGTGGTGCTGTCAATTTGGTAGCTGTGGATTGTTATGCCCACATGCAAGGTCTTGTATTTATTGACATTAACACTTTCGCGCTCTCGGCGCTCAAAAAAAAAACAATACCCCAGATGCTTTCGGCACTTCGCGCGCCTACGCGGTAAGACGGAAAAAGTGTACACTCTTTTGACTGTCCTGACAATAATTGAAGGCGCACGTATTTACATTTGGTATCACTGTGTTCGCAATGAAATTGTCTACAAGAGCATACCTATAAAATGCCGCCCAAGCATAAGGAGTATCAACACCAAATAAAAAACTATGCAGATCACTCGCCGAGAGCGCCAAACAGCAACAAAATGTTTCCACTTTCTTAATGGTTGCGAAGCCTACAGTTGTCCTACATCGCTAATTTTGGTATCATTGGAATCGCAATAAAATTCTCTACACGGACATATGCATATGAATGTTTAATATAGGTAACTGCCCACCCGCAAGAGTGTGTGAAGTGGAGAGTAGTTAGCCGCGAGCGCACTGGCGAAAACACAGGGATGAAATCATGCTTGGAAAGTTTATACGTTTCCTGACCCTACTTTTCTATGTACGTATTTCTTTTTTATACCAATGTGTTCGCAATAAAATTTTCTATAAGATGAACCGTATAACATTGGTACAAAGCATGTGTAAGAGAAGCGCCAAATATAGAACCACGTCGCTCAGTATGCGTTCGCGGCAGAAACGAACGCATTGTTTTCGTTCGTTTGATGTTTGTCATGTTTATACTTGTTGAAACATTTTATAATTTGTATGACAGTGATCGCAGTAAAATTCCCTACACAGACATATACATAACACATACAAATATTTCCCACGTGTTGGATATATCAACGGCTAAAGGGAACCCACTGCCACACGCTCGCCACACCCCCAAACATACTTTGTGTATTTTTTTTTTACTCATAGAAGTTTATGTGATATAATATTCATTCTGGTACCAAAAACTTCGCAAATAAATTCTCTACAAAACAAAAGTATCCCCATCCATTTCGGTTAAAAAATGGAATTTATAGAAATATTTTTTCGATTGACGAGAAAAGTAGGCAGTTATGCGGAATCGTAAGAAAAACCAGTGACGAGTTATCTCTAATATAAAGCGCGAAAGTGTTAAAAAGCATTTGTCAATCATATGACCTTTTGTGGAGTTCATGTAGATTTCTCTGTAAGGAGGCAACATCACTCACTTCCCACTTTACCATAGATCTTTTTGTCATCTGCAAATCTGATGATGTGGTTTCTAATATTCTCATCTATGTCATTGATGTATATGACAAAAATGGTTGGCCCCAAAACGGACCCCTGAGGCATCCCACTTAGCACATTTCCCCAGTCAGGTTTATTCCCATTTAGCACGACCCTTTGTTTTCTATATTTTAACCTTTGTTTTATCCATTCCAGTATTCTCCCATTTATTCCATGTAATTTCCTTGCCAGTCTTTCATGTGGTACCTTGTCAAAAGGTTTAGCAAAGTTTATGTAAACTACATCTACTGGAAGTCCTTAAAGTACAGTATTAGGTGTTTAAATCTTACTTAGCTATGTTGAGATGTTACAGCTGCTTGAGAGAATGAAACAGAATTGTGTATAAAATATCGTAATTTATGATATACTACATTACAGTACAGTATATGAAAACTCAAAATGGTGCTGTAACTGCATTGCATAGTTAAGAATTTCATTTTTCATTACTTCAGGCAGATAATGATACAAATATTTTCACACATACTATAAATACATAATATAAAACTCATGTTTATAGTGACATACTGCACATATCAAAATACAATGAGAAATGCTGGAACTTGAACTGAGGAGCACAAGCCTCATTACTAGAGAAAATCACATGAAGAGTGGAGCATCAGTGTCACGATGACCTTGTGGGGATCTTGTGGTTTCGAATTCCTTTATCTACCATTAACACAGTGGTTAGCATGCACGACTGGGAACTTCCAGATCCCATTAGAATGCAAGTAAGTAATCTACATTTCAGCACATTTATCTATTTATACATATACAGTACAGTTTGTTTGCCTATATATAATACAGACACACACACATGTGTATATATACTGAAAATGGCAAAGTTTAGATGAATGATTCTAGCATGAATCTTCTCTATATTTTTATGTTCTTGCATAACAAAATTATGCAAGAACATAAATTTGGGATTTTTAGGTCCCCCTCCAATACAGTTTCTATGTTCTTCTGTCCTTCCACCCCCCTTCCTTTTGTGTTTTTTGTGCTTTACTACATATTTAAAGGTTACAAGATGTACATTGGTTAATACAATGAGTTTTTAAAGATTATGGATCTCTTAGAGCTCCAGTTCCAGACAGGAACAAAGGACGCAACACGCGTTTCCCTTCTGGAGCGCCACACTGAGACACTGAAACAAGAAACTGGCAGCCCTTGGATCTCTGGTGATGCTAACAAGTCTAGAACCCAATTATATGACAAATCCCTAGGCACTCCTACCCCAGGGGCTGAGCGTCTCGGATGCTATGGGAACGAAGGATTATTGTCCTCCCACTCGCCTGTATTTGACTGATTTTGCTATTTCTGTCGTTGGCCGCCCCACCTACTTGATCAGCGACAAAGTGTATATAGGTGTCAGCCAGGTTGGATACACATGTATAGTCCCACACCAGCTGTTTGGTCCTTTTCCAGGAGTATATTTTGTGATGCCATCTGGGCGAAGTGCGGGGTCATCCGGGTTTTGGTCCACTAGGATGCGAGGTTCTCTCTCTGCTGCATTGTGTCTTGCATACCAGCCCTTGGAGCTTCTGCAGCTTGGAGCTTTATATATATAAAATACCCTGTACAGTCAATAAAAATATTTCCATAGTTTTTAACACTGATAAAAATTCAGCATTCAGTATGTTAAAACAGCAATTCTAGAATTACTGAGTGTAACCTTTACATAATGGCACTCATGATGCTTACAAAACAGTTCAGCAATTTATTCCACACACAAAATCAGCTAAACAGTGGTGGATGTCAGAGGCTTCAGCTGTTCTGGTATTTGGGTATCCTTTTTGGTGAATGTTACCCAAGAGTATACTATACTGCCACCAATACTGAAAAAAAAAGAAAAAACGCTAATACAGATACATATATAATATTCAAGAAGAAAAATACGTTATTTAACATGGTTGTAACATGTTAAATGTACAACCATGTTAAATTAAAATGTACCCCAATCCTTTCTGAGGATGGAAATGCATTCAAAAAAAATAAATTTTGAAAATAACTTTCTTTTTATTATACAGTATATCTAGTAAAAGCAAAGCTAACTCTCTCCAGCAATAACAACAAAACTAACAATATTAAAGATAATGGTTTCCCTCTTCTAACAAAATATGACACAAGTAACCTTATACTGTACCATAATGTGTGTTAGCAACAAATATTTTTAATTGTTTGCAGTTTTATTCAATTTATATTACATTTCTTATAAGAACAAAATGTGTTCTTTTTATACACGCCACAAAGATCATTAAAATGTTTAAAAACTAGAAAATCCCAGTGTTGAATGTAATGAAATACCTCTATCTGGTTGAGCCCCAGTGGCTCCTTGAAGCTATCTTGCTGAGAATGTTCCATACTAGGGGAGCCGGTCGGCCGAGCGGACAGCACACTGGACTTGTGATCCTGTGGTCCCTGGTTCGATCCCGGGCACCGGCGAGAAACAATGGGCAGAGTTTCACCCTATGCCCCTGTTACCTAGCAGTAAAATAGGTACCTGGGTGTCGGTCAGCTGTCACGGGCTGCTCCTGGGGGTGGAGACCTGGTCGAGGACCGGGCCGCGGGGACACTAAAGCCCCGAAATCATCTCAACCTCAAGATACTAGGAGGTTACATCATGGAGCTAACCAGACAGCCCGTCCATGAGGACCCAAACTTGCCACACTGCCATTAAGTGCAAACATGCCTTGTGGTCATCCACAATAAGAGCCTCAGACTGCACATGCAGCTGCCACTTAACGACATTCCTGGGGAGCACTGGAGCAAGCATGCAGTCTCCGAAAGGAGCATAAGAGGAGCCCAACAACGCCTGAAAGACAGAACACATCTTACCAGTCAAGCCTGTAGGTTTGACAGAACCCTTCCCAAGTCCCAAAGGACAAGAGGATATGTCATCTAGCCAAGATGAATCTGGAATCTTACACTGCAGCCAATAAAACAAAGCTGACCCATACTCAAAAAAAGGCTCAGTCCATCAACGAAAAGAGGTCCAAATTCTGAAGAAGGTACGAAAGCAAATCCACGCGATGGAAACCTAAAAAAAATATGATGATTTTGAGGCACTGAATGGGTCCCAGAACTGAACCTGGGGGAAAGCAGGTAATAATCATGCTCATACATACAAGGAGGATATGAAAAATTATCCCTTAGAGCAAAAGAACCTCCAGAGGGAACCAAAGTCCAAGAAGGGTTGAAGGGAACCCATGGACAGTCCTTAAGCTACCCCTCAACCCCAGAAACCTGCCACAAAGGCTCTGCAGCAGTCCTCACTCAACACCTGGGACAGAAAGGTAGTCCTCCCAAGGAGAAGGCTCAGAACATGGGTGCAGTTGTGAACATAATTTCCCAATACCCTGGCGGAACCAGGTTACGTGCTTGATGGGGTTCTGGGAGTTCTCCTACTCTCGGGCTGGGCTTGACCTGAGAGAGCTTGATCCACTAGGCTGTTGCTTGGAGTGGCCCGCAAGCGCGCACATCCACCTCAGCCCGGTTGGTCCGGCACTCCTTAGAGAAAATTATCGAGCTTTCTCTTTAAGATGTCGACTGTTGTTCCGGCAATATTTCTTATACTCCCTGGGAGGATGTTGAACAACTATGGACCCCATGTTTATACAGTGTTCTCAGATTGTGCCTATGGCACCTCTGCTCTTCACTGGTTCTATTCTGCATTTTCTCCAATATCGTTCACTCCAGTACGTTGTTATTTTACTGTGTAGATTTGGGACCTGGCTCTCCAGTATTTTCCAAATGTATATTATTTGATATCTCTCTCGTCTCCTTTCTAGTGAGTACATTTGGAAAGCTTTGAGACGATCCTAATAATTTAGGAGCTTTATCGCATCTATGTATGCTGTATATGTTCTTTGTATTCCCTTCATTTCAGCAATCTCTCCTGCTTTGAAGAGGAAAGTGAGTACTGAGCAGCACTCAAGAAGGGACAGTACAAGTGATTTGTATAGTACAACCATTGTAATGGGATCCCTGGATTTGAAAGTTCTCGTAATCCATCCTATCATTTTTCTGGCTGACGCAATATTTGCTTGGTTATGCTCCCTAAACATTAGGTAATCAGACATCATTATTCCCAAATCCTTTACATGCTTCTTTCCTACTATGGGCAGATTTGATTGTGTTTTGTACCCTATATTATGTTTAAGGTCCTCATTTTTACTGTACCTGAGTATCTGGAATTTATCGCTGTTAAACATCATGTTACTTTCTGTTGCCCAGTCGAAAAGGTTCAACTACCTCTATTGTTGATGTCTACTTCTTGCCTACCCTTAGAGAAGAGGCAAGCTACACTAAGCTAAACCCTGCCCTGACTCCAAAATCCTAGCATGCTTTGAAGGTAGAAGCAAGGAGGAAGACCAGAAACAGAGTGAACGAACTCTGGGATATCCAAATTATCACAAGCGTCTGAAACACCTGGAACATTACTGTCCAGTGGACATCAGGAAAAGAATTGAACAAGGAGGATGACTGCATGCAGACGCTTGACCACCTGGTGGTGGCATTCAGTACTATGAGTTTCGTGCTAATTTTGAATGTTTCTCTTACTCTGCATAAATTGTTTGCGGAGTTGTCTGGCAGTTTCGAGGCTTTGGTCACTGTAAACCTTCCACTTGTCTGTAAAGCTTTGTTGATTTTGTGGAAGCTATTCTAGTGTGGTGGAGAATTGTCCTTCACTCTCTTCGCCTTTGTGAGGAGGGGGAGGGGGGGGAAAGGGGGAAAGCCAGGTTTTGGTTTTGGTCTTTGGTATGTCAAACAGAACTGCATTGCACAGAGCAATCTCAGTGAGAGAGAGCTTCAGGAAGCCACGGGGGCTACCCCAAGAATGAGGATTTATCAGCCAGCTAGGATAATGAGGATTAATCAGCCAGCTAGGATAATGAGGATTTATCAGCCAGCTAGGATAAATCCAGGACTTCATAACACAGTCATAAAGGCAAAGCAGACCCAAACTCCAAAGAATGGGGGCCCATCAATGACATGAGGCCCAATTTCCACAGGAGATACTGAAAAAGATCTGCACAAGGTATTGAAAACGAAACTCCGGAGGACAAAACAACAAATCTGAAGACCAAAGGCACCTAGAAATGAATTTTGGGGGAGCACAATAATAAAACTCATACACACAGTTAAAGGAGGATAAGAAAATATCTTCCCTGGAGCAAAAGACCCTCCACAGAAGGGACCAAAAACCAAGAAGGGTCGAAAGGCAACCAAAGATACCTGATCAACCAGCCTGTGACTCATATGTCAGGCTGAGGGCTGCCGTGTTGAGCAGCCTGGTTGACTAGACCACCAACCAGTAGGCCGGGTTAGAGACCGGGCCGCTGGGATGTTGATCATCATAATCATCGGCACGTATCGACAGAATCCACATCAGACTCCCCCTAACCTCGGCAGCCTGCTTTAAAGGTTCCAGGGCCAAGCCATAGTACTTGCCCAATGCCTGAGATAGAAAAGCGACCTCCCAAGGAGAAGTCTGGAATAAAAAGGCAGTTGAAAAGGTAAAAACTCCAAAACCCATGCAGGACAAGGTAGTTCAACTGCCTCCATACCCAAAAAGGATGGTGCCATTGCCAGAGAAGACTTAACTACACCCCGAGTTAAACTCCTCCCCAGCTCCAAAACCCTAAGATATTTTGGATCTGTAAACAGAGAATAGAAAGGAATAGAAGCTTGGAAAACCAAATCCACAGGAGGGTGGGGAAGGGAGGGAAAGAAGTGCCAGAGCCAATTCCAGGTCCCTAAACACAATTCGGGCCAACTCTGGGGCACCAAATGGACATAAAGCCACAATTACTGAAGACAAGTTTAATGAGCCTGTAAAGCAGCAGCTGCCTGATAGGTTTCAACTTAAGAAGCACGATTTGAGAGAAGAGAGACCCCATGGGAAACAAATGCACCAGGAATCAGGGTTGTAGGTATCACTGACCCAACAGAAAGCATGCTAGAGGCAGAAAGAATGATCATTGCAATGTGGCACAGCCGACAAACACCCTTCAAGCTTGCAAATAGCAAGACTGGGTTCAACAGGGCGGTCCATGGGAAACCAAGACAAAAACCCGTAATGGAATTACGAAGGCCAGAAGGGAATTACCAAGCAGCACATCCAGCCACTGGAGATGCTCGCCAAAAGAACAGCCAACACAGGTAAAAATGTAAGTGGCTATGAAGGCTGGCTACAGAATGCCATATAAACAAGCACATGAATCCCAGCACAAAGGCTTTAGAAAGGAGTCTTTCAGAACCTTGTATACCATGCATGTAAGACCAATCCTGGAGTATACGGCCCCCAGCATGGAGCCCGTACCTTGTCAAGCGCAAGATGAAGCTGGAAAAAGTTCAGAGGTATGCCACTAGGCTAGTCCCAGAACTAAGAGGCACGAGTTATGAGGAAAGGCCAAGTGAACTGCACCTCATGTCGCTGGAAGACAGAAGAACTCGGGAAGACATGATCATCACATACAAAATTCTCAGGGAAATTGACAGGGTAGACAAAGATGGAGTATTTAACATGGATGTTACATGCACAAGGGGGACACAGGTGGAAGCTGAGTACCCAAATGAGCCACAGAGACATTAGAAAGAACTTTTTCAGAGTCAGAGTAGTTAGTAAATGGAATGCACTAGGCAGTGATGTGGTGGAGGCTGACTCCATACACAGTTTGAAGTGTAGATATGATAAGAGCCCAATAGGCTCAGGAACCTGTACACCAGTTGATTGTATGGCATTAAGTAGTCAAATGACACATTTGAGAGATTGCCACTTAGCAGTTCTTGTGATGTCAAGTGTGTGTTGGAAGGACTGACTTTATATGAGTCAATTTTCTCTAGTCACTCTGAGTTGGACTGATATTTCTCTGGTGCCTCCAAATCACTAAAATGACCAGAAAGGGATGCTTTAAAAGATACCCGTTACATTGATACAAAATGTTACCCTGTTGTGAACTGTAATTTTGTCCAGCAGAACCTTCAGTGACCTTGCCCTAGGGAGCAGCTCAGAAAAATCTCATACAAAATGCACCCAAAATATGATGATGATGATATAATAATTTTGTTAAGAAAGCAGCCCCAAACATAAAGAGGCACAAGCATATAGACATCTTTTCATTACATTCAGCAAAATAAATATGTTTGTTAATTAGTAGCTCCCCAGGCACAATTAAAACAAAATCACTTATTTACATAGACCAAAATACTGTATAGCAGCAGTGACATATATTTAATTACTGCTTATTACATTACCGCATTAAGATAAAGTTGACGTGCACATTTAGTCAGTCCTCTGCATGAAGACAACGAGAGAGAACAATATGCTGGAAAGTGCGCTGAAATAATACCAAATATGGCAAGTCACTGTCTTTGCTAATGAAGAAAAGGGCAAAAGAAAATGCTAAAGGAAAATCATATTTACAATTACCCCATTTACTTTATCTATTTATCGTAGGATTGGGAGTCATCACCCTTGCCAAAAACAAAAACGTTTCATCAAAAATCAGTGTCAGTAGGTAATAAATGGAATGCATATGAAAGTGATGTGGTGGAGGCCGATTCCATACACAATTTCAAATGAAGATATGATGGAGCCCAATACTCAGGAACCTGTACACCAGTTGACTGACAGTTGAGAGGTGGGACTAAAGAGCCTAAGCTCAACCTCCACAAGCCCAACTAGGAGAGTACAACTAGGCAAGTACTGCATTAACTCTTGGGCTGTGCCCCTTTAAATACCGGACAACACCCTGGAGCACTGGAAAAAAAATCCTTTTAATCTTAAAATATGTTCCCTGATCATGGGAGAAAAAATATGACTTACTTTAGTCATAATGAAACAAAGAAATCTTATGATGACATCACGAATTATGAGCAATCATGTCGTTATCATCTCTGGGTCAGATTTGGGGCAGGAGTTGCCACGAAGATACTTCTGCACACTTATTTCAATGTCTCAAATTGGTTTTTCTTTTGTTATTTTTATAGTATTATTATTAAATAGTGTGTCATGAGAAATTGATTTAATAAAATGTGTGCAACATCGGAATGTTCAAATACATGTCACTAAGATGCACACTATATGTGAGTGGTCTCTCAAGATATCCCACAGCTGACTTGAATGGCTCATTGCAGTGCACCGTGCACATAGTCGTGCACAGGGGCTGTTAATCTCTGTTAACCCTGGATGGTATACTATCATGTGGGGTGTCCCAGGATGCCCATATAACCAGGAATATTTATATAATACGGAGGCCGCCGTATGCCCAAGGGTAAATTAGATAGAGGGAAATAAAGCATATTTGCTATAGGGTCAGTGAGTACGTAGCTGGAGGTGCCATGCGTGAGAGAGGAAGAGGCGCCCGCGAGATGAGAGATAAGTTCCGACCTTTGGGATCAGCCTCAACCAGTGCGATGGAGAATAACAACTGTGACGTGGTCGTGACGTGTTCATGACGTCACCTCTGCTACCAATCATGTAACGATCAATATCACTGGTTCCCGTTCCTTGGCTACAACGCTATTGGTCAATTGTAGACCTTATGTTTGTGACCACGAGGAGCCCTGTATTTTCTTGCAAGATTATTCTCATGAGGAGGTCCGTACATAATTGACGTGTCCTGTTTTGTCTATCGGCCAATAGACAGAAGAAAACCGTCCATTCCTCACCTTCAAGTTAAACTCAGCATCTTCTCGATATACCAACGCTCGCCCGGAATCGCGATCGTGACTATATTGTTAAGAAATCTTAGAGAGTGAAAAAACCAGCGTTGAATGTAATGAAACGACATTTTCTAGGCGAGTCCCGGAGGCTTGGACTTGGGGGTGGGAGTCGCTTCAATCCTGGTTCAGTCCACACCTCCTTGTCCTTCCCCTTCTGTTCATTCTGGTCCCCCCCCCCTCCTGCTTCCGGCCCCGAAGCGTCTGAGGGTTTCGGGGTCGAAGCAGGGGTTACTTGATCTTGAGACTCGGGCAGCTTCGGGGGGTGCCCTTTCCGGGGGGGGGGGGGCAGAGGCATTCGAGTCTTATCTCCCGGCCGAAGCTTCTGGGTCTGACCAGTGGGCCCCCCCTTCCTCCAGCTTTTCCGGCTGCTCCGTTCTGTCTTGTGGGGTCGGGGCTTGGGGAGAGGAATTTCCAATTGAGCCCCGGTGGCTGTGAGGCTCCTGATTCCTACCCCTCCCTCCCAGGGCATTGGGTAGGTTTTGTTTGTGAATCTGCTCCAGATTTGACCACTCAGACCATGGGAGGTGGTGAGACCCTTCCCTCCTCCCCTACAAATGAGTGAGGGAGGTTGGGTAAATGAGCTCATGCTACTTTTGAGAGAAAGTATTGTTTGTTTACATAGTTGGAGGAGTTCTTTAAGTGAGTTTCGAAGCTTCAGTCTCTCTTGAACCCAGTAGTGCTTTGTTTTAACTCGCTGACTTTCTGGATGCTTTCCTCACTGCAAATCTTACCATATAGCTAATGGGTTAAAGAACTGGAAATTTCTATATTCAGATACTGTAATCCTAGAATAATGGAGGGGTTCAACTGTAAATAAAGTTAAGCAGAGTTTATGAATTACAAACTAATATAGTTTAGTAATATAATTCAGCATAAAATTCTCTTTTTTTATTAATTTATTATTGAACAACATCTGATTCACAGTTCTTGTTTAATAATGTACTAGCTCACAGAAGAAATGAGACAAATTTAAGAACCTTAAAAAGAGGATTATTATTTTCAACATACAGTACTGTACCTAATATTTAAGCCGATGAAGTTATACAGAGAAAAGACGTAATCTCCACCAATAATCATTCCAAGATACGTTATAAATATATTCTTCAGGCATCCAATAATGGTTGTGGTGAGAGCAGAATTGAACTGCGTGCATATCATTACTGAGTACATCAGAATGAATCCCATGACACATGACATGAAGAACTGCATTAAGAACATGACATCATCCCATCTGTCATATGCCAAAGCCTGAAAGATTTAAAATGGGTTTAGATATTTATTCAAGAACGAAAATGTCTTAAGTCTTAAATATAGTCTATCTAACTATACTACAAATTCTAAAGTGATAAAGAGTGATATATTCCACCATCCAAAATCCAAATGTTCAAATGAAATACCTTTAAATAATAGACCCCCCCCCCAAAAAAAAAAAATTGTAGCTATTGTTTTCAGATAGTCCTAATCTCCACAGTAGCAGAACCAGCATGACAGGCAAGTCTTTAACATGCTTATGAATGTTAAAGACTTACATATTTATTTTGATTTAAGACTGTGTGCTTGTGCACACAGTCTTAAACCAAACTAAAAGTATAAAAGTTGAAATAAGGCAAATAGAATACTAGAATTCATACTACAAGCTTAACTAATAAGACAATGTTATTCTTCAGCTTTACCTGTAAGTTCACATTTAGATTATGCCGTTCTATTTTGGGTACAATACTATAGAGTAGCAAGTAATTATCAATAGAAGGCACCAAACCAGGAAGGCTATGTAGCACCATCAAATGTGCAGAATAATCAGAGGGCGCTAAATATCACCAAGGATGCCAATACAGGAACAAAAACGCATAAGGCGAACGATATCAAAAGTATTAGAGTCACCAAGAATTCTATTGAGGGACATACTATAGAATAGATATAAATTCCCTGGAACATGTACAGAGAAGTATGACAGTTAATCCCAGGAATTAAAATCCTCCTATATGAAAAGATTAAGAAAACTGACTTTACATCCTCTAGAAAGGTGAAGCGTAAAGGATGAGCTGAATGAATTGTACAAATGGATGAAAGGGTATAACAGGGGGAATATAAATAGGTATTAAATATACCAACACAATTAAGAACATTAAAAAAATTATACAAACTGGAAAAAGTTTAGATTCTGAGAAGACCTAGTTAAATACTGGAATGGGAATAAGGTTGTTGAGCTAGGGAACAAATTACTAGGTAATATAGTAAGCATGGTATAATTCCACTTGTTGGGGAATAGGAAGCACATACTTAGGCTTATTGAGGCTCCTCTGGGTTAATCTGCTGACCTTTCCCAAGATGGAACTCATAACTGTTGCCCAAATCCCAGGTAACTATTTACTGCTAGGTAAACAGCCGTCAGGTAAAAAGAAATATGCCCAACCATTTCTGTCCCACATGGGAACTGATCCTCAGTTGCATGTTCAAAACATAGACAAATGTAATACAGTACAGTACAGTACTATTACTGGATTGTTTTGAGCATAGTTTTCTTCAAGACGTGCCGGACCCGTTGGACCAAGCTCTCACAAGTCAAGCCTGGCATCGGGCCGGGCTTGTGGAGTAGAACTCCCAGAACCCCATCAAGCAGGTATAGGTTAGATATATAATACACTATATATGAATATGTTTGATTGGATATGACAAGGAGCTGCCTTGCATGGACCAGTCAACCTTCTGCAGCTTCCCTTATTTTTTAAGGTATGTTTACCTATCATCCTCACCATGTGTTTAAGTCACAGTAAAATATTGATCATAATTCACTATTCTCTCACTTTAAAATTTTGATATTCTCTGCCATTTGTTCGATCTTCCACGCATTTCCACATGAATTCCTTCCATTATAAGATGTGAAGCTGGAAGGAGATTTTAATAAGTGTAGAGATAAAAAAAAACTATGCAAAAATACAATACTGAGTAAATCCATTGCTTCTTTCTGACCAACAACTCAAAAGGCTTATGCACTCAACTTGTCTAGGATCTAGGACACTAGGGTCTGAGTGACTGTGTGGCAGACTTCCATACAGTCATACAATACAATGTTAGGTTAGGTGTATAAGGCTGGTGAAGCCTGAGAGAAGACTTTGTTCAAAGTAAGAGATGAAAAACTTACTGCCTGACACTGATTATAATTACTGTACTGAACAGTACTGCATATTAAAACTTTGTAATCAAAATTTCAAGCATAAACTTCAGTGTGTACCTTATCTAAATCTCCATTAAACCAACAGAACACTGCAGCAAATGGCAGCATGAAAAATGAGTTGTAAAAAAGAAGGCCATATTTCCCCAGCTCCTTGCTCTCCAGTTTCTTCTTCACATATACACCATTACCCGCCGTGAATAGATCATTTGTTAGCACGAAGAAGTAGCCCACAGCATCAAAGGAAAGATCATTTCTGAAATAGGAATAAAAAACGTAAAAATTAACAGTGTTAAATCTTTGTAATGTGCTGCAGGTGTTATTGAGTGAACAAGTATGTAAAGCACTGAACTGTAAAGAAATAGCTTACCTTACAGAACATCACATGATGAACACACAAAATAATAATAATGATGAACCTTTATTAAAAGTCTTCAACTTGTGTATTACAGTTTTTAGTGCCACCAAAATAGTGTAGGTGTAGGCGATGAGTCACAATAACGTGGCTAAAGTATGATGACCAGACCACACACTAGAAGGTGAAGGGACGACGACGTTTCGGTCCGTCCTGGACCATTCTCAAGTCAATCGACTTGAGAATGGTCCAGGATGGACCGAAACGTCGTCGTCCCTTCACATTCTAGTGTGTGGTCTGGTCATCAGTGTAGGTGTGTATAGCAGCATTTTGTTAATTTTTTAACATTTGAATACCCTGGCTCAGGGTCTCTTATTACTCAAAAGTAGTGTATGTATTTAATGCTATATTGCCTCTGGGTACTTCCTCTTATTCAAGTCAAGGAGTGTGATTTATGGTTAAGACTTCTCAAGGAGAACTTTAAGTATATATCAACCGTATATAAGTATCGAGTTATTTATCACACAAATAAAGCAGTTTCTACTTTCGTTGAAAAATAAAATTATATTTGGAGTGAAAAGATATTGAACATAACCTTACTAAAACCAGCATATGAGTCAAACATTAATTTATCATTTAAGAAAGACTGAAATAACTACCACTTAGTGGGTCAGCCAGAGGATTTAGACCCATGCAGACATGTCTCTGAAGAAAAAATTGAAGACTCAAAGAATAAAGGACCCGAAAAGAACACATTGAACTCAAACGGCAAAAAAAAGTAATAAAAAGTATTTAAGATTAAAGTAATATTTAATGTTTTTCTAGCAACATATTTCTGTGGGCAAGAGTAGGCAAGCAATGCATCAACTACAAGATGGTGTAGTAATATCTCCCATCTTACTGAATGGTGTAGTAATATCTCCCATCTTACTGAATAGTGTAGTAATATCTCCCATCTTACTGAATAGTGTAGTACTGTAATATCTCCCATCTTACTAATTACACTTTTAAACATTCAAGTGTCATCAAATTATCTTTGACGGATTAAAAGTTAGAGCAACAAAGAACTTGATTTGAAGATTGCCCTCTTATGATGGATCCTTTGATGAATGGATCCGACTCTTGCGTACGGCACATTATCTAGTTATGAGACACGGTTTGCCATTTCACCAACTTTTCTCCGGCTGTTTAAATGTTACACAACTAACAAGAATGCAGTGTAGCAATATTTATTTACAGATCTGGTTCTTTTGGGTCCAAGACTAAGCTTCAATACATTATTTTGAGTTTTTTAAAAGATTCAGTGTGACGAATATAAGTTTACTGAAGACTCATTAATATAGAAAATAGAAAGGCTTATTAAACAGACTATTATAATCATTTATAAGAAAATACTTACAATGCAGCAATTACCGATCCTAAGATCATTGTATAAACTGTCAGCTGTATAACCATTGGAGGATTTACTCTGAAAGTAGATATGAAACATACTAAAACATCTTCACATACACTTAAAGTAAAAAAAAAAATTATACAACATAGTATCAGGATGAGTTATTATATTAATTAATTCTTTTATTTATCAGATTTGTAAATATAATTCAAATGTTTACTATGTTGAGATGATAAAAGCACCAGCTTTCAAACTTACCCTAATAACATTTTTTCACCAATCATTGTAAAAAGGATTGAGAATCTTCTTAATACTGTAAACATTGGCAAACTGAAAATAAAATAACAGGATAACTATAATTTATCAATTATGAAACTACATTTGTTACACACTGTAAATTTCTGCCATTAGCAATATTTTGTATTTATGTAGCATGTGAGCATGCTGCATGTGAGCATTATGTAGCATGTGAGCATGCAAGATGCTGCAGGCTCACACACTTTATCATTATATTTTAGTGTGCACATTGATATATAAAGAAATGGTATGATCTTCTTCTTGAGGTTATCTTGAGATGATTTCGGGGCTTTAGTGTCCCCGCGGCCCGGTCCTCGACCAGGCCTCCACCCCCAGGAAGCAGCCCGTGACAGCTGACTAACACCCAGGTACCTATTTTACTGCTAGGTAACAGGGGCATAGGGTGAAAGAAACTCTGCCCATTGTTTCTCGCCGGCGCCTGGGATCGAACCCAGGACCACAGGATCACAAGTCCAGCGTGCTGTCCGCTCAGCCGACCGGCTCCCTGTCTCTGATGGAGACAATCTATAAAAGATACAAAAACTTTGTACCAATAATGAAATAAAGAATGTGTAATGAACAGCATTAATGATGATGAGTGGTGACAATGGTTACTACAGTGAGTAGTAGTTACAGCTTAGGCAGACAAAAAAAGAAACTAGAACAAACTGTTCCTAGAATTTATTCTTGGGTGAAATCAACCCAAGTTTGAGTCCTCTGTTCAGTAAGTGACCCGAGGAGAACTATTATAACTAGATCACGCTACACAGAAAAACTACTGCTATAAAAAGAAATGGGATTTTAGTGGTCGATTTGTTTTAATTTTTTTTGTTAGTGGTTAGGTTTGCATCTCTCAGTAAAGAGATGTGACCCGGCTATTGGTTTAACATTCCCTACGGATAACGGGTAGCCATTGACTAAGGCCATTTGCTTAATTTTGGGGCCCCACTCACAGTGCAAGGGTGAATGGTCTACTAATGTGTGCATAGAACTTCCATTAATTTGGCTAATGTGCAAAGGAAGAAGGTCTTGGTATAAACATTATTGCATTATTATTAGTACAACTTCGAGGCAGTCATGATAATTTAATGTGAGAAGAATAGACTATCTCTTGATTCCTTGTTGAGTTAAAGAGCTGTGAGTAAATTCAGTGAATTTGACAGCGAGATATTTATTGGGGAACGATCAAGTAATGCAGATCATTTTCAGATAGTGTCTTTGAATATTATTTCAATAATACATGTATGTATATTTTACTAGAATGGTATGTTTTCTATAACCATTATTACCAAGATGTTCTAGATCTATTTAAATCTATTTAAAAGCCCTATATCCAGGTGTACATGTGAGAAAATATTGAAAACCCATATGAATCAATCGGATAAGGTGATTTGAACACAGGAGGAAGTTGCAGAAAGTGACTGGAGCAAATATAGAGGTTACAATGATTCTAAACATTGCCACAAGTGTATTACATGGCTCAACAAGTCCGTAACAATGGACCTCTTTCTTGGCTCACCATACAGTCAAAGTTCTAACATTTTAAGGTCAGATATTCCGTGGACAATACTGTACTAAAGTGAGGGGAAAAAATACAACAAATCTGATAAAACTATAAGCTATTACATACCAAATTATATGTGATTTATATATATAACAGGAAAAGCTGAAAGATTTAGGACAGCAGACTTTATGAGCTACATACTGTACAGTATGTAGCTCATACAGTAAATGTATCTCAAAGCCTTAAAAATCAAGAACATAATAGTATACAGTATTAAGAATGATTCTATATACTGTATATAGTATGTATAGTATTGGATTTATTGTTAGTCATTAAAAAAACACTAACATCAATGTTACTGCATAACTTGAATTTTTAACTCACCTGAGACGTTTAGTGCCGCCGAGGCCAAATATTAGATTGCCAAGAAAAATTAGAGGTAGTGGCCAGATTTTATTAATAATATCTGGAGAGAAATCTGGGTAATCCACAATTCTAATTTTCTTGGCAATAAATAAAACTAGGATTGTTGCGAACATCTGAAAAAAATGAATATAATATTTATATAGAGTACAATGTACAGTATATATAAAAGCACTTTATTTTTTAAAACATTTTCTATACAAGTTTTGTACTGCAAATACATTTTTTGCAAGGTTTTTAAATTTCAAAAGAAATATATTGACATTTCTTTTTCTGTAAAACACACTAACTTAAAAAAAATTACCTGACCCAATGCAACGAATTGAAATGAAGGGAATCTGGAAAGAAAACAAAATTGATTAATATACTGTATAATAAAGATTGTGCAACACGATTAATAAAGAACTAATTAATAGAACTAATTAATAAAGATTAATAAATAAAATAATTTAAATAAACATAACATGCATTAACATACCAATTTACTCCTATAAAAAATGCACATTTATACATAAATTTAACAATAAATTTCAAAACCTTTTCAAACTAGTGATCAATAAATTCATTTTTAATAATACTGTAAAAGGATAGACTGGGAAAAAATAAACATGGAACTTACAAACATATTCCTTGTTTGTACATGAACAAACATGTACCTCCTCAACAAAAAAGAATACAAATAAAACCCATTCAAATAAAACCTTAACTTTCTTGGGTAATCATGTCATATTTATGCAAGAATATTTTCTTCTTTTTACAATGTTTATAAGTCTTTTCCATCTTCAAAACAAATATAGCAGGAAAACAAACCTACACAGAAATCAATTAGAAAGATAAACAAAATTAAACATCACACTAGAGTGTAGAAATACAAAATGAACAAAAACAAAAACTTTTCGTTTACATGCATGCAAAGACTAAATTAAATTTCTCTTCAAAGAATTGGCTCATTATTGTACACTGTACTTACAATGTGTACACTATATTGTTTACCAATAATGAACAATTGGCAAAATTTGCAAGAACTGTATGAATTCTTGTTTATCAATGCATTGTACCCGACAAAAATAAACGATACTCGGAATTTTTTTCAAAAACATTGAAAGGTAAACTACATACACTGTACGGAAGTATCAAATATTGATCACTGGAAGGCAGAAGAGTTCGGGGAGACATGATCACAACATACAAAATTCTCAGGGGAATTGACAGGGTAGATAAGGACCTTATTTTGCACAGGCACACAGATAGAAACTGAGTACCCAAATGAGCCAGAGATATTTGAAAGAACTTTTTCAGTGTCAGGGTTATCTTGAGATGATTTCGAAGCTTTAGTGTCCCCGCGGCCCGGTCCTCGACCAGGCCTCCACCCCCAGGAAGTAGCCCGTGACAGCTGACTAACACCCAGGTACCTATTTTACTGCTAGGTAACAGGGGCACAGGGTGAAAGAAACTCTGCCCATTGTTTCTCGCCGGCGCCTGGGATCGAACCCGGGACCACAGGATCACAAGTCCAGCGTGCTGTCCGCTCGGCCGACCGGCTCCCCTGTGACCGGTACTGTAGTTTAATATATGGAATGCATTAGGTGGTGATGTGATAGAGGCTGACTCCATACATAGTTTCAAATGTAGATATAATAGAGCTCAACATGTTCAGGAACCTGTAAACCAGAATATTGATGGTTGAGAGGTAGGACCAAACCCCTGCAAGCTCAACTAGGTGAGTACTAAAATGGGTATAGGATATTATAAGAGTCGATCCCAAAAGGTTGTGTCATAGAAGTGTTCAGAGCCCCCACAATGCATATCTATCAGAAGATGCATTTTGCATGCAAATATCTTAATTCTTTAATACTGTATGGTTTGTTGAAAAAAATATAAAACTCTATTGACTAATCACCAAACATTTCATCACTGACTTCATAAGCCCCCTCAATGCATATCTGTCATCAGAAGATGCATTTTGCATGCAAATATCTTAATTCTTTAAATTAATACTGTACTGTATGTTAAAATTATAATAAAACTCTATGGACTTATCACCAAACATTTCATCACCGACTTCATAAAAGGTCATTTGGGCTGACCCTCCTATGAGTCTCTCCCACATTTACCAGTCATCTTGTAAAGTTTAATGAGGCGAACTCCAAACACTTGGTCTCCAATCTTGGCCAGACAAACATACAAACATCCTATTTCATAGAACTAGATTTGGAAGCAAAATGCAGTCAATCAACAACAAATAGTCTTTCACCAAATGATTACAAAATAAAAATAGCTTTTACATCCTGTAACATTAATCAAGACGTCTGGCATTAGGAACATGAAATTTGGGCCTTATAGCTGCTGACATTAAGTAGTGAGTTAAGAAATTGTTTAACCCTTGTTGGGGGCAATTCTCTCAGCTCTGGATCACCACAGCGAGCAATTCTTATAGTTATCCGATTTGCCAGATTGTGATATTTATGCAAACTAATGAGCATCTAACACACACACAGCCTCACTGAGCTATGCTGACGTGAGAATTCCAGGTCAGAATGAGTAAAGAAACTATGGATATTGACCACATTTATATAACAGATAGCTAACAATGGAGGACTTGGTTTAATTTTATAATTATTTTATTATAAATAAATCCACAAATTTGATTAGTTCTGATTTGAGGATGAAAATTGCGTTCTTCATTCAAAGTTATGAAATTCATCAATGTCTTCGGGTTTTTTGATAGGTGAGGTTGGTCTTACATCCCGGAAATGTGATATGGGAAGAAGGTGGGCAAGAGGGGAGGAGAGAGGTGGCAGGGAAGGAGATGGGCAGCAGGGAAAGAGATGGGCAGCAAGGGAAGAGATGGGCATTAGTAGAGGAGATGGGCAGTAGTGGAGGTGACCAGCAGGGGAGATGGGCAGCAGGAGGATATTGGCAGCAGGGGAGGAGTTGGGCAGCAGGAGATTAGCAGTAGGGAAGAAGATAGGCAGCTGAGGTAGAGGTGTGCATAAATGCAGCAGGGAAGGTGCAAAAGTAGAGACGTGCAGCAGGGGTGTAGGTGGGCAGCAGAAGTAGAGGTATGCATGCGTGGCAGCAGGGGTGTAGGAAGGCAGCAGAAGTAGAGGTATGCATGCGTGGCAGCAGGGGTGTAGGTGGGCAGCAGAAGTAGAGGTATGCATGCGTGGCAGCAGGGGTGTAGGAGGGCAGCAGAAGTAGAGGTATGCATGCGTGGCAGCAGGGGTGTAGGAGGGCAGCAGAAGTAGAGGTATGCATGCGTGGCAGCAGGGGTGTAGGAAGGCAGCAGAAGTAGAGGTATGCATGCGTGGCAGCAGGGGTGTAGGAGGGCAGGAGAGGGTGGGAATTAATGGCTGGGTAAGGGTGGTGGTGGTGACGAGAGATGTGTACACGACCATCATCGTGTTGGTCCAGTAAACACTACTGCCCAAGCTGATGACCGCCAGCCACAAACCATTCTGACCCCCTCCCCGTCACTGGTGCGGGGGCCCTCACCAGTCTACGTGCTCACCGGTCTTCACCAGTCACTACGTGCTGATCAGTCTAATTCCTGCCAGTGCTACACTTTCTGTGCGCCACATACCTTTTAATATATTACGATTTTGTGTTGTACTTTACAGGTACCAAAAGGTATGCAAATACTAATGTGCTTTGATGCGTGTGTGATTGTAATTACCTAAGTGTAGTTACAGGATGAGAGGTACGCTCGTGGTGTTCTCAGTTGTGCTTGTGGGGGTTGAGCTTTGGCTCTTTGGTTCCGCCTCTCAACTGTCAATCAACTGGTGTACAGGTTCCTGAGCCTACTGGGCTCTATCATATCTACACTTGAAACTGTGTATGGAGTCAGCCTCCACCACATCACTGCCTAATGCATTCCATTTATTAACTACTCTGACACTAAACAAATCCTTTCTAATATCTTTATGGCACATTTGGGCACTCAATTTCCATCTGTTTCCTTTAGTGCCTGTGCCCCTCTTTGTCTACCCTATCAATTCCTGTGAGAATCATGTATGTGGTGATCATGTCCCTCCCTTAACACTCTTGTCTTCCAGCGGGGGTGAGGTTTAATTCCCGTAGTGTCTCCTCATAGCTCATGCCCCTCAGTTTGGGCACTAGTCTGGTGGCAAACCTCTGAGCCTTCTCCAATTTAGTTTTATGCGTGAGATATGGACACACGAGATTGTGTGCGAGAGTGCACCAGCGTGCGTGTGCGAGTGCCACGAACTGTCGCTATCAGCACAAGTTGTTGTTGTTGTTAAAGATTGGCTACCTGGAACAAAAAGTTCCAAGTAGCACGGGCTATGGTGAGCCCGTTATCAGCACATGTTTGTACAGAATTACAGCTTACACACGTCACTGACGTGTCACCCACCTTGTCATGTGATTGTCACACGTCACTGACGTGTCACCCACCTTGTCATGTGATTGTCACACGTCACTGACGTGTCACCCACCTTGTCATGTGACTGTCACACGCCGCTGACGTGTCACCCACCTTGCCAGCTGGTCGCCACGTCCGTGTAGCCCCTTCCCCCCGACCTTCTCAAAAGAAAGCCTACTAAACTTAACACGTCTTGTGTAAAGTGTTACCCACAAATCCTGAGTAAGGGTACAGCAACTTACTCAACAAATGTCTATGTCACACCTTTGTAAAAAGGTAAGTGAGGCCAGGCTACTCCCCAAGCCTGGCCTCAGGCCGGGCTTGGGGGAGTAGAAGAACTCCCTGAACGCCATCAACCAGGTATATGTGGGCCTGCGGGCCGCTCCAAGCAACAGCCTGGTGGACCAAACTCTCACAAGTCAAGCCTGGCCTCGGGCCGGGCTTGGGGAGTAGAAGAACTCCCAGAACCCCATCAACCAGGTATCAACCAACAGCCTGGTGGACCAAACTCTCACAAGTCAAGCCTGGCCTCGGGCCGGGCTTGGGGAGTAGAACAACTCCCAGAACCCCATCAACCAGACCCCACTTAACTTACCTTTAGTATGACTGGGGAGCAATTTGGTCTAGGCTAGTATCCTGAAGCCAGATTCACGAAAGCAGTTACGAACCTGTACATCTTTTCGCAATCTTTGACGGCTTTGGTTACATTTATTAAACAGTTTACAAGCATGAAAACTTGCCAATCAACTGTTGTTATTGTTATAAACAGCCTCCTGGTGCTTCGGAGCTCATTAACTGTGTAATAATTGTAAACAAAGCCGCCAAAGATTGAGGAAAAGATGTACAGGTTTGTAAGTGCTTGCGTAACTGCTTTGTGAATCTGGCCGCTGGCCGGGGGGGATTGACCTGACGCCAATCCTTAACTGTACGCCTCTGACAATGGGACAATACAGT